CAACCATCAGTAATGAGATCTGATGCCCTCTTCTGGTGTGCATGAAGACAAGCCATTCATACACATAAAATAAATAAATATGGGTGGGGGTTCTAGATTGGAGCCAGGTGTGGTGCCTTTAAATCCCAGCACTCCGGAGGCAGAAGCAAGTGGATTGTAAGGTGTATGGTTTCCCAATGGGCGTGGTCAGTGCCACAGACGGACTATCTCACTACAGTGGATCTCTGTGAGTCTGAAGCCAGCATGGTCTACAGTACCAGCTCCAGTTGCAGGACAGTCAGAGCTACACAGAGAAACAATGTCTCAAAAAAAACCAAACACAATGAAACAAATCCTAGGTTAAAGAGTTGGACTTTCCTAGTCACCTTCTGTTACTATAATAAAATACCTGAAGGGCTGGAGATATGACTCAATGGTTAGGAGCACTGCATGCTCTCCCAGAGGACGTGGGTTCAATACCCAGCACCACATGGCAGCTCACAACTGTAATTCCAGTTCCAGGGGACTCAACACCCACAGCAAAATTACATTAAATGCACATAAAATAAAATAAAATAAAACCCTGCAATAAAATACCTGAGATAATTGACTCGAGAAAAGGTTTGTTTCTTTTGCTCACTTTTCAGAAGGCAATGCTATAGTTTGCAGGGCAAAACTGTTCACCTCCGAGCTAGGAAGAGAGATTCAGGAAAGGGGCTCCCACAATAACACAAGGGTTTCCTAATAGATCCAAAATGGAGAATGAGGTTTTACAAATAGGCCTGTGGGTGACATCAATATTCAAACCGTCACACTCCAAAAGAGAAGTCTTCCTGAGTCAGTGTCTGCTCTCCCTTACCCCAATAGGAAGGCATATGTGGGTCAGTAGATCAGATATAAGTGTATTTTTTGTGAGTGTATCAACTTCAAAAAAAAAAAAAAAAACACACACACAAGAGAGCACACAGAGAGACAGAGAACAGAGAGTCTCACACTGCAGCCCGGGCTGTTTCTAAACATGGCCCAAACACTTGTTTCAGCACCTCAAATACTTAAAGTGTCAGCTTGTTTGTTTAGTTTATTCTATGTGTATGAATGCTCTGCCTGCATGTATGTTTGTGCACACATGTGTCCGGTGCCCTTACAGGCCAGAAGAGGGCGTCAGATCCCTCAGCTGGAGTCAGACAGTTATGAGACAACACGTGGGTGCTAGGAACTGAAGCCCCTGCGAAAGCAGTGAGCGCCCTTAACCACTGAGCCATCTCCTTCAAGTGTATTCTTTACATTCTGTTAAATGGACATGAAAGCATTCCAGATAGCTTATTTTTTTCCTTCAAACTTAATTTGAATTGACAAATAGATGTGATACAAGCCAGGAGGGTTAAACTTCCTGGCTTTTGCTTCTAGCCTAGAGACAAGCTCTAGAGCTAAAATTTGGTTGTATTTTAATTTAGAATGATAAAGTTCAGAACCTTTATTTATTTTTATAGATGAGTGTTTTGTCTGTCTGTCTGTCCGTGTACCACTTGCGTGCCTAGGGACATCACAAAAGAACATCAGATACCCTAGAACTAGAGCAATGAATGGTTTCCAGCTACCATGTGGGCAATGAGAATCGAACCCAAGTCCTCTGGAAGTGTGTGTGTGTGTGTGTGTGTGTGAGAGAGAGAGAGAGAGAGAGAGAGAGAGAGAGAGAGAGAGAGAGAGAGAGAGACTGCCAGACTAAGAGAGGGAGGGAGGGAGGGAGGGAGATGGAAAAAGAGAAACAGAGAGAGGGAGAGAGAGAGACAGAGAGAGATGGAGAGACATCCAGGGTCTTGTTATACAGCCACTTTGGCCTTGACCTACTCCCCAATCCTCTACCTCTCAAGTGTCTGCTCTCAAGTGCCAGGATTACCCACCCCACAGCTTGCTTACCAACACAACTATCGCTTTTGAAATAAAGTAAGAGATACAATCAATTTGTAGTAAACTGGGTATAAGTCTCTAAGCCAGTTCTCAACCTTCCTAAGACTGTGACCCTTTGATACAATTCCTCATGTTGTGGTGACCCCCAACCATAAAATTATATTCACTTTTCTATAAATGTAATTTGCTACTACTATGAATCGTAACGTAAATATTTTTTAAACCAGAGGTTTGTCAAAAGGGTCATGACCCACAGGTTGAAAGCCACTGATTTAAGAGCACTGTCTGTCCTAGAGAGCCCAGGTTTGAACCCCAGCAGGCAGCTCATAATCATCTCAAACTCCAGCTCCAGGGGAGCCAACAACCTCTTCTGGATTTTCTGGGCACCAGTTACACATGTAGCACAGACATATAGGCAGGCAAAGCAATCATACACACAAAATAATAAAATAAGCTTACAAAAGAGAAAAAAATAATTTTGGGTGGATGTGAATGTTGAACAAGTAAAGGTGCTTGCTGCCAAGACTGACAACCTGAGTTTAATCACCAAGGCCCACGTTCTGACACTACATACACAAAGTAAAATTTTAAAGTAATGAATGAATGTCAGTTTTTTAAATTTTTGCAAGGTTCACTAAGTTGTCCAGGCTGACCTCCAACTGACTGAAATCATACAATCCTGCTACCCCAGTCCACAGGATTGCAAACGTGTCCTATTATCATGCCCAGCTCACACTACATAGTCTTACACTGTTTTATGTATGTGGGGTCTTTTGCCTCCATGTATGTGTGTGCACCACATACACATTCAGTGCCCAAGGTGACCCAAAGGTCTCCTGGAACTGGAGCTACAGCTGTTTTTCCGACACCATGTGGATGCTGGGAATTGAACCTGGGTCCTCTAGGAGAGCAGCCAGTGCTCTTGTATCCACTGAAGCAAATCTCCAGCCCCACATACTACATATTTAAATAAGATATTATGTAAATTATATGCTGCCTGAATATAGTAAAATAAGAAAAAGTAGTAACTATTCCTATAGTCCACAATCACACCTTTTTGCTTGTTTGTTTGTTTGTTTAGGTTTTTTGAGTAGGGTTTCTCTATGTAACAGTCCTGGCTGTCCTGGAACTCACTCTGTAGGCCAGGCTGGCCTCAAACTTACGAGATCCTCCTGCCTCTGCCTCCCGAGTACTGGGATTAAAGGCGTGCATCACCACTGCCCAGCTTGCACACCTTTCAAGTGATATAATGAAAACTCATACAGAGTTTGAAGCGAGCCAACTCTGGCCAATTTTAAGTAGAGCGTTCCAGGCCATACAAGGCTACACAGTCTCAAAAACAAAACAAAACAACTCATAGAATCTGAAAAACACATTCTATCTAGCAAAAAATCTCCTCTAAAAACCTGGACACTCAAAAGCCTAGTTAGCAAACTGAAGGGTGATCCCTGGGTGTGCCTGCCTAGTCATTGTCTTGGAACCTGGCAGGGATGCAGCCCGGTTTGAGGTGAGAACCGGAAATGAGCACATCAGCAACAGCAACCCTCCAGGTATGTTTGCTCAGGTTAGACAGTGCAGACTAGTTCCACAAAGCCCTGAGAACTTTGTTCTGCTGGACAAGCAGGTCCTGAACAAGAAAGATCTGGTTCTCAGGCATCCAGTATACCCTCCACAGCACAGCTTCATACACAGTAAGCATTCCAATTTGTTCACAGGTTAATTCATATCAACAGCTGGCTAGACAACACCAATACTGGTTTATTTCACAAAAGTTAATGATTCTGATCATGCTACACTAACCTCAAAACACCTGATGCAGCTGGTGTGGCAGTTTGAGCATTTGGGGGACAGAGGCAGCAATACCTCTGTGAGTTGGAGGTCAGCCTGGTCTATAGGGAGGAGGCCAGCCTGGTTTATATAGAGAATTCCAGGACAGCAGTGGTTCTCAACCTTCCTAATGTTGTGACCCTTTCATTCACTTCCTTATGTTATAATGACCCCTAACAATAAAACTATTTGCTGCTACTTCATAGTTATTTTTGCTACTGTTATGACTCATAATGTAAACAGCTTTAGAATGAGAGGTTTCTTAAGTGGGTCGAGACCCAAAGGTTGAGGACCACTGCCAGAGACATAAAACAGTAGGTAAATATCTAGAGCTGTTAACTAGCAAACCTCTACCTCCAGTCCTCTAGCAAACAATCCAGGTTCAGAAAGTGTCATACTCTTTGAAATCTAGGTGAAAAACTCATTTCTAATTTTGTTCAATATAAAAACAGGATTTACTAACAGATCTCTATGCAAGTCAACTATAAAACATTAAAATGAAAGTTAAACTTTCTTTCATCTTTAAAAAGCATTCTATTTTTGGGCCAGAGAGATGGCTGAATCATTAAGAAGTCGTAAAGACCCAGGCTGAGTTAGCAGCACCCACACTGGGCGACTTAAAACCACCAAAAATTCCAGTTCTAGGAGGCTGGACACACTATCTTCTGCCCCAAGTGTTTAACTAGTTTTCCTGAGCTACAATGACCTTTTATATTCCTATCCATAAAGGCAAATACTAACGTGAAAATCAAACACATGAGAAAAGTGCATAAGGGGGAAAATAGTATTCTTGAAAATTATGTTTATTTATATTTACACTACAGATAAAAGCCAAAGCTTCTAAACAGTGAAGATGCATCTATCCACAAGTTTAATCTCAGCACTGAAAAGGCAGAGGCAGGTGGGTCTCTGTGAATTGAAGCCAGCGTGGTCTACATAGGTAGTTTCAGGCCAGCCAGTTATATGGTAAGACACTGTCTCAAAAAGAAGCCCCCCCCACCAAAAAAAAAAAAAAAAAAAAAAAAAAAGCTAGGCAAGCACTCCACTAAGCTACACTCTTAGTTCACTTTCTTTCTTCCGTTTGTTTTTTGAGACAGGATTTCTCTGTATTGTTTTGGAGCCTGTCCTAGAACTAACTCTGTAGACAAGGCTGGCCTCAAACTCTCAGAGATCTGCCTGCCTCTGCCTCCCAAGTGCTGGGATCAAAGGCGTGTACCACCAACGCTCGGCTTTCAGTCCAATTTCTTACACTTGATTTAATGAACAACTTTTTTCTTTTTTAGAGTTTTTGTTACTTACAAAGCACCTACACCCAAGATGCTTAACTCCTGGGTAAGCAACGGCTGCAAAGCATTAATTTATGCCTTTTTTGACACCACATTCATTAGTGACCAAAGGTGAACAGGCAACACAAAGGCTAGAACAATATTCTTAACACAAGTGAATATAATCATTTAAAATTTTAAAATGCCTAGAATGTCTTTTTATACACACACACACACACACACACACACACACACACACACACACACACAGAGCAAAGCTGTTCTGGTCATAATAACCAATAACCACCATCTGGTAAAAGAATTTTTAAAAACTCAAGGTATATCTGATGAAATACTAACTAGCAATAAAAAGAAATGAACTATTAATATACTTGAAAACACAAATCTCAGCTGGGCTGTTAGTGGAGGCAGGTGGATCTCTGTGAGTTCGAGGCCAGCCTGGTGGTACATGCCTTTAATTCTAGCACTGAGGCAGAGGCAGGCAACTAACTCTCCTGAGTTCGAGGCCAGCCTGGTCTACAGAGCAGAGTTCCAGGACAGCCAGAGCTACACAAAGAAACCCTGTCTTGAAAAACAAAAACAAAACAAAAAGCAAGCATACAAACCAAACAAAAACCATTATGCATAGGAGATTCTTAAGCCAACCCTACCTCAAAAAGAAAAAAGAAGGCAGAGCAGGCCTGAAAAGTATTATAGTGTGTGGATGAAGTCATCCACACTAGGAATCACAGCAATAAGGAGAGGAAACAGGAGGGTGGATTTGAGGCCAACCTCTGCCACACTATCAAACTGTCTCATATTTTTTTTTAAAAGTTACATATTTTATGGTCCCACTTACCACCCCACCCCACCCTCAAAAAAAAGGTAAAGCTACAGGAATAGAAATGAGACCTTTCTGGGAGATGGAAATGTTTTCTGTATCTTTGACTGTGGCAGTGGCTACATGACTGCTCATTAGAAGATCCCCTTAAATAGTGTTGATGTACCAGGCAGTGGTGTTACACAGCTTTAATCCCAGCAGCACTCAGGAGGCAGAGGCAGGTGGATCTCTGTGAGTTCAAGGCCAGCCTGGTCTACAAAACTACATAGAGAAACCTTGTCTCAAAAAAAAAAAAAAAAAAAAAAAAAGAAAAAAAGAAAGAAAGAAAGAAAAAAGAAAGGAGAGGGTGGAGGGAGAACAGGAAAAAGGTCTAATTTAAGTTCTCCTAATTAGGTAATTTTCTAACCTATCTCAGGAGGAAGAGCATATACAGCTGCGTATTAATACATTACAGAGTTGACTTGGACTAGGATCTACATAAACAAATTACTCAATAACTGTCAAGCACCAAGTGGCATTCTGAATCTTAAAATGAAGTCATCTGACACCACTGGGTCTTGGTATCTAAGGATGGTTTGCAAAGCACGAATGACCAGGGCGCACGGAGGCTTTTCCAAAGAGATGGCATTTTCTTGCCAGCGGTTACCTCATAGCCCTGTATAATGAAAGGCCAGTGAAGTTTCTTCACAAGTTATTTGCTAAATGCTTTACAGAGAACAAAGCTAGGCCGGAACACTTTGGAATCCAATGTGGGAGAAGGGTTCAAAACACAGTTGGACAGATCAAACATTTCTCCAACAGAACTTCTACACGCTTGTCACTGCCTGGCAATGCTATTCCAGGTTGTTGTACGGTTTCTCTCCCCCCCCCCTCCCAGGTCCTTTCGAACGAAATTCTTTTTATATAGATTTGCTGGGTGTGCACACGGGACTGGGCCTGGGAGCAACTCTCTAGGCCAACCTCTGCAGCGGAAGGAAAAGCCAGCTCAGTGGGTGTCCCTAACTGGGCAGCAGGACAGAGCAGGGCTTCACTCCACATGCGCCACCCAAAACTCTGAGCCTCCTGCTTCCGAACAGACTTAGATGTGCACGGCCGGGAAGCTACTCCTTGATAAAGGCAGCCGCTCGCCAGCACAGCTACCCTTCTGTGCTGGGGAACTACGGGGGCCCACAGGGACCTCTCCGTGGGGGCACTTAAGTTTTGGCGTTTGTCATTAAACTTAGTCCCACTCTACAGGGCCGTCCACTTGACCCGACTGCACCCTTACCTGTGTGCACCACGGGCGGGCAGGCTCTTTACCTGCCCGGTGCAAAAGCCGAGCTGGGCTCGGACGCGCACTGGCGGCGGCAGCGCACGGACCGGTAATGCTCAGCGGACCGTAAGGACGGCCAGCGCGCAGGCCGCACGCGCGCGGCAGGACAGGGCTGCGCCTTGAGCCCCGCCAGGAGCTCCGGATCGGGGCTGGGTCCCCCTGCCACCACCCCGAGGGGCTGCCACCCTGCGGCGCCGTCCACTCACGTTTTCAGCGTCCCGTTCATTCACCGTTGGCAAGGGGGTCCTAGTGGACATCTTAGTGCGCTTTGATTCTGCACAACGCCAAGGCGAAAACAAACCCGCCCAGCTCTGGGCGGCCGGCGAGCAGCGGCCGCGAGCGGCCTCCGGGCCCTGCGCTCCCCGGCCGCAGTCTAGATCCCCGGCCTGGCCCGGGCCGTGCGCCCGCGGGCCCCGGGGCTCATTCTCCCCCAGCGCCGGCGGCCGCGGCGAGGAGCCCAGTGGAAGCGGGCCGGCTGGCCGCCGCAAGCCTCACGGGCGCCTCGCGGGCCCCTCGCCTCCCGCAGCCGCAGCCGCAGCCGCAGCGCCGCGGAACTCAGCCCCGGGGGCCCCGGGCAGCGCGGCCCGCAGCCCCTGAAGAGGCGGCGGCGCAGGAGGATGTAGCGGAGATGAAGCGCAAGACGGGCCGCCGCGGCCTGCAGGCGCCGACCATGGAGGGGGCCGCGGAGGAGGCGCCCACGCCCTGCCGCTCTGCCTTCTCCCGCTCGCTCGCCGCCCGGCCTCGCCCTGCCGGCTGCCACCGCCGCTCCCCGGCACCTCAGGAGCCTCACAGACCCAAGATGGCCGCCCCTCGGCTTCCTCCGCTGCCTCCGGCTGCCGGAAGTGACGCCGCTGCTGCCTGGAGTTCCGCCAATCAGCGCGGCCGGAGCGAGTGCCGGCTGCTGTTGCTAGGGGCGACTCGTCCTGTTGGTTCTGAGGGGGAGGTGCCGAGCTAAGCAGCCGCTCGGTCTCTTGCAGCTCTGGCCGAGCTGCGGTGGTCCAGGGCGCCTGGGCATCCCCGACGGCTCCGGGACACCGCGCTCGAGGGCGTCCTGCACCCGACAGGTGGGCTGGCATTTGCGGAGCACAGATCTGGGCTGGCCGGACTACTACACATGCAGATCCTACTGTTTGCAAAAGTTGAGTTCGCTTTTCCCGGGCCACGCAGGCAGCAAAGGATGGAGCTACTCAATCAGCAGTTACAGGTCTAGCGGAGAGGGCCAGAGCCAGGCTCCTGCTTCGTAACTGAGACATCGAACGCCCAGGCTATAAACTTCCTCGCCTCGGGCCCTAGGGGGCCGCTGGATCCCTGGCCCAGCGGATGAAAGGGTGCATGACAAGGGGGCCACAAGAGCGATGGGGACAAGAGTTCGATGCGAACAGGTAAACGCACCCAGGGATCAATTCCTAAGTGCCGGTAGGGGCCTATTATATAGCAGTATTTCTCTGTCTATCCCCACCCCTGGCTCTCCCCTCCACCCCCTCCCTTTCTCGCTCTTCCTCCTTCCTCTCCCTTCCCTCACGCTCCTGCCCTACCTCCCTCTCCTGCTTCCGCCTCCTGAATAGCGACCTGCTCAGCCTGGCCCAGTGTGGCCTGAATATGCTGCCTCTTCCTGATGCCTCCTCAACTTGCCACCTCTTTCTGTCTCCTGGGGACGGAACCCACTGGTACAGAGAGGAGGGCTGTGTGAGCTGGGGTAATGCAAACCGCTACTAATAGTCCGCCACAGTTCATTAAGCCTCAGGTGTCTGTGGAAGATGGACAGACACGACATGTCTTCTGAAGGTAGCTACTGAACGAAATCAAGTGTGCTGGTTATAGCAGAAGGACCTAAACCCCATTCCTATAGCTTTAGAAGTAGGTAAATTTGTGAGTGACTATACTTGGCTTTGTTTGCTTTTCCGTCTTCTGTTTTGTTTGCTTGCCTGCTTTGATTTTGTTTTTTGTCCCCCAACATCCCAATGTCTTGTTGTATCCTGTTTTGTGAAACACCAGCATCACTTCCAGAGAGGTCAGGGGATCCCAATACAAAAACAACACAGGGCTAAGATGCACTCAGAGTTCCCATCGTACCCTCCTAGGGGTGGGGCGTATGTGCTCAAAGGGCCCCAGTGACCCCATTTGAAATGTGGTTCTTTTTCTCCCTTTTTGGTCAAGCAGAGATCTGCAGAGGCATTCCTCTGAATCAAGTGTTTCCTCCACACAATTCAGCTGAAATGTAGATTGTGATAACAGGAAGGAGCTTCGAAAAAAAAGCCTGTGGACACTTTAGAACATTCCACATTGGCCAGAGAAGTAACTGAACAATGAGGCTTCCCCAGGGGGATTTCCTCATTGATGCTAGGCATTAAACAGTGAGTCAGTGGATGCCAAAGGTTAGGAGTAACGATGACAGCACCCAGCCTCAAGATATTTCTTAGTTTTCCATAAAGTTTAGAATTGAAGACACTGAATTTTAAAGGCACAAACAAGACCTGGAGATGGTAGGCGTGTTTGTGATGTGTGAAAAAGGAAAAGAGGTCCAGCAGGGTGTGAGGAGGAGGAGAGCATTGTTCCATCCAGAGGAACTTACGTGGTCCTGAATTTTGTGCACCTGTCATCTATCTGAAGGGATGGAGCGATCAAACCTTAAAACTCTTGTAGGATGACACCTTGCATTCCCTTTCAGAATTCTTGTTTCCTGTCTGGTTCGTCTCCATTTGTTTATTTCCTTGTTTATTTCCTTATCTCAGGCAGTCTTGCTGTGTATCTCAGTCTCAAATCCCTATCCTCCTGCCTCCCCCTCCCTAATGCTAAAACATCAGGCATGCACCCCGTCTGTTTCCTCTCTCCCTGTGAAAACAGTGCCCACCTTGAGCATCACCACAAGCCGACTGCAGTGCAGAAATGCACGCAGGAGAAATGCACTCAGGCACGCAGGGCTGGGGAGATGGCTCAGCAGTTGAAGCTCTTGGTGCACAAGCAGAAGGATTAGGTCTCCCAAAACCCACATAAACCCCAA